CTCATCGACTTATCTCAACTTTATTGATCAAAATATGTTAATTATATTGTAAACACTGAAAATAATAATAAAGGCTATAGTCTATAAAGTATAAATGTAGATTATTGGGTACATATAAATAAGATGATTTACGAAGAAGGCTTTAAATTTACTAAATAATAAAATAAATGGATTAAATTGGTAAATCAATAATAAATTAAATACATTCTCAGTTCTGACAAATTTACAAAATTCAAAGTCTATGTAATAAACGTCTTGTTCGTTATGTTTATTATATTAGTCATTTTCTTGTCATGTTTTATTTCCTCAGTAAATTACTTCTAGACCTGCAACTACCTTTTAGATAATTTATTAACTATTAAGTGTGCACATGTAAAAGTGATATACAAACAATATGGATTAAATTCAACGAAGGTGTGTCTGTTCATGGTATAATATCTTAAACATTGTGATATAGGATAAAATAAATATTAATTTTGTTTACCAACTTTACTAAACAAACATTTCCAAAAAAAAAAAATAAGATTTTTTGTTTAATTTAAAACTAGGTATTATAATTTATAACATTTTTATTAGGTACCTTCTACGGGTGTGCAACAGTCTAAATGTTCCTACAACAGTGTTTTTTTAATTTTCATTTCAATAGCTTACAAGAACTAAAAACAAAACAATYTATGCCGATTGTATTAATCAACATCAAATACAGGTTAGTTGTATTAGAAWTTTAACAAAACCAACAGATTAAGAATTTATTTTAGTTTTTAAGCTGTCTTACTTCCATTTTAATCGTTTTTTAATGATTTATTGTATTCTATTTAAGGATCTTCCGATTACTTATTTTTAATTTCTTAATTTCGTATAATACTGACTCACAAACAACTACGTCAATACGTATGCAATTACTGTTTGTAACAAATGATTGTACATCTCATATGATATTACCAAATAAATAAACATAAATATAATAATTAATTTACAAAACAATTTTACCTCGTTTGTTGGGGTAATTGGTACTGATTTCTGGTAACTTCCTACTTGAACATTGGTAAATAAACGGTTTCAAAATATCAATGAATTATTCACGAAAAAATAATACCAAATTTAAGATTATATCCAATAAAAATACATAATTTCTATAAATTCTTACATGAAGATCGGACGTTCTGATGGTTATATATTTAATTAGTTTAAAATGTAAAATTTTTTCTAAATTATATATCAAATAAACACGATATATTATCTTTAACAAAACTATTTTAATTTTTACTAATATTTACATTGCGTCCAAATTTACGCTTCTTTATAGGTAGTAAATAATACGATTATTATAGATATAGCCTATTTGAYTGTTCAATAGAACTTTGAATTCAAAATATATTTAAAAGTATTTTATATTTAACATTTTAAACGTACATTTAGCTCGCAGTCCGTATTGTAGTTTTCATCTTTGGAAAGTTGAAAATATTTAACAATAATAAATATCTAAAATCTAATTACGTATGAAGCAGCAATACAATGACATGAAACATTGGAGGCAATGTACCGTTTTTACTGCTACAGGAAACCGTAATTATAATTACAGACCGGTATTCAGCGATTAATTTCCGGACCCAACGATCGAGGCCATTTARGCGGCACGTACCAAATAATTATATTGCATTTTTGTTATTAATATTTTCAAACGTATATCTATGCAGTGTAATAATAGGCTGCATAATGCAATTTGTTGCACCAGGCTTTCAATTAATTAGATTAATAATTGTAATGAATTCTTTTTAAATAATTTTATTTTACGCCTTACATTAAATGAAAAGACGGATGCATATTTAGATTAGGTACACGAGTTTTAATTCCAACCACGATCGGTCATTAATTTTAAATAAAAATTGAATAACAAAACACAAACATTTTGTGGTCAGTAAATGAGCAAGGTTATATAATTATAGGAAATAATTTATTTAAGGCAGACACTCATTGTTTCAAAAATTATCAACATTGTTGATACATTTTTACATAATATTAAGTGGTTGAAAAACAACATTTTTTTAATATAAATAGATTTTAACAATTTTTATCGTTATTAGATATTTTTTTATTTACTTTTTTTGTTGACAGCATACACTTTTAATTCCTTATTCCAAAGTAAAATGTATTTGGAATACTTTCCAGTAATTTATGATTTATAAATATTTGAAGTTTAGATGTGTGATATGGTGGTACATAGAGTAGGTACCCTMACAATGTTGGTGCACAGCTCGGCTCGTCTATAAAATTTAAACACTTACCTAACTATTAATAACTTCTTGTATACAGTTTGATTTTCATAGATCAAAATACATATTTTTTTTTATAATATTATATAATATAATATATGAACACCAATAATCAATATCATAATAAATAAATGAGTCAAACAACTTATTATTTTAAATACCGACACGTCATGATATCACATATTAGTATATGTTGMAAGTTATAACATGGAAATGGGTTGTACAGGCAAAAAGAATGAGACGGAAAAATTCCTCCTAAAATTCCATTCTCTAAATAATGAGTTTGCTAAAATAAATGAATAATAATGAGCGTAGCAATAGCCTGCGTGGGTATAATAATTTCAATCTGTATCGAGGTCGGTATTACGGGAAAACGTCGAATAATCGTCTTTCGTCCAACCGTATTTACTAAAACKATGTAGGTGCTTATTATAATTTAGGTATAAAGTATAACTGATACGATTCCGCTTATTGGCACTATACGTCGTTATTTTATCGCAATTTTCTCAGTGTTGGACCAATAAACTCTATCCGTCATTTTATATAAAATTCATTAGAGAAACTGTAATAAATGGAATTTATATATATTAATTTATTTATCTTGGAATTCATCTTCAATACCTATCGTAATGCTTAAGCGGTTCAACTACACATTATAAAAATATTAATACATTTTAAGCTTTTCTTTTTTTTTTTTTTATTATTGAGAATAAAGATTTCTAGATCATTAGCCTGTGATTGTATTTACATTATTATTAATAGATAGTTCAGTTGTGATTGGCGATTACATAAATTTTAAGTTATTTATATTTTATGTATACATGTTGTATATAATCTTTGTAAATTTTAATCGCCGATTAAGCATGTAGTTTATTTTCCTTACACTGCTGCAGGAGAGTTTCGGCTGCAGTGATCGACATCCGTAGGTGATAGCTAGAGAAGGGGGGCAGAGTGGTAATCTCCACATACCACGTGAGTTAAATCGTATCTTGTCCAAAAACGATGCTTAATTGTTGGCGTGGGTTTTTTATTCAGAAAATATGTCTACTGAATTGGATTAACCAAATAGTCATAAACGGTTTGCACTTTGTATAAAATATATTAAAATGTTGTATTGATCTCTCCTTTGACCACGGGTGTTGTTCGTGTCTTAGGTGAAATCCAAGACRWACTCAGCAATCTCACGTCATATAATATACCAAATGATAACTTTGCCTACTGCAGCAAAGGATTCATGTCGTCGCGGTTTTCGTGAACCCAAAGATTAGAGTCTACTACTTCTACTAAATGAGATTRCACCCAAACGAAATATGGACTTGGACTGCACATCTTCACCATCAACTACAACACCGTCGACTCTGCAGGTAACTAACAGGGCCAAACGGCCAAACTTGTTGCATATGTCCAATATCGGATATAATAGCAGCGTCGAAGAYCGTCACAATACCGAACAAAARGACGCCCTTCTGCTGTCTTCTATGACCGACGATGCATTGCTGTCTCCCGACCCCGACGCAGCCACCGCAGATGTCGACTACCCTGCAATCCTGGCCAATGGACARCGGATCACAATTTCAGTGGCTAAACACAAGTACAAGTCCAAAAATTTAATAATAATTATTACCCCATGTGTTTTTTTCGTAACCAATTTTTATTTTTTGACCTAACATTATAAGGCTCAATTTCACCAGAATGTACACATGCGATTTTCTAACTTTTTTCAAAATGCTTACGTTATTTTGTTGATATTTTTTAAATTTTAGTGGAYAATTTATTATCTTATAAAGTTATTTTTATAATTCTAGAGAATATTTTTTTTATTTTACGAMAAGAAATGACCATTCWGGAAAATTATCCTTTAAATAACTTTAAYAGTAAATGTATTGAGTAGTTTATVAAGATAGWWKTGTTTTAATTTTTGTATCATTTCACCAAAATGTAAACAGTTTTTTTTTAATTTTTAAGAAACTAATTGTCCACAACGATCAAAAACTATTCTAAGAAATAAAATTAATCATCCGCAAAATGGTAATACGAGTCCACGAAAAAAATAAAGCGAGTGGTTTTTCAATTTTTAATTTGCAAAAAAATATTTGTGCAAAAAATTAAAATAGTTTGAAAATTATGCAAGATATCTATATAATAATGTGAATGAGAAAATTCATACATTKTCTAATGTACAAGCATTCATTACAATTTCGAAGTACWAGAATTCTTTTAAATATGTAGGTAATATACAATCAGCTGAGTCGTCTTATACCTAGATGCGTCAATGGYAGGCACTTAAACTTGTGCACATCAATTATTATTATTATTATTTTGTTACACAATGTTCGTCCTAAATAAGTATACCGATTATTTACAACACTTTTCTATGACTCTTATAATTATAATTATTAATTATAGTCATACAAGTTATATCTAATAAAACTGTAGTTAATAATTGTACTAAATCCATTAAAATATTTTTWGAGTATTGTATAAATTATTATATCACAAACGTTACAAGCACATAATTATTCTACATAATTTATAAGTTTAGATGTTCAATAATGACAAAACAAGCGATTTTAATTAATAATGTATCAAAAATAATTTAAAAGTTGGTACAAGAATAAATATATATATATTTGTTTTTAATAGGAACCTATTGTTGCTTTAAAAAAAAAATGATTTGACTCATAAATATCATATATGTAGTAGTTAATTTTTTTTTAAATATATTTAATTCAACCTATTGCAATAATAGAATAATATTGAGAATTAAGAGCAAAATAAAACAGATGAAACATACTGTAGAAGTCTCTAAGTTGAGATATCGTGGCATGATAAATGTTTAATTGGGTCGTAGGTTACGACACCACTGAAGAGTAAACGAGGTAGGTATTTTGTTTCATATCGAGAATCTTGCAGGAGATTACAAGAATCCTAAAGTATTACATAAACAGTATTTAACTTACAAAATAATAAATATGAATTAAAACAATTAATAAATCATTGAAATTGGTTATACTAATATTAATTCTCAGTATTCTAAATATAATGAATGTTAATTGAAATGCTTTATAAGAATTATAATCATAATAATTTCATTTAAGTGATCATTTGAAGCTTATTCTACATTCTGCGAAACATGTCTTTTTTATTTGTTAGATATACATTTAGTTACTACAAACTTAATGTTTTTATACATCTTAGCTGATTTAAAAAAAAATTAAAATTAATTCAGTGAAATAACAGTTTTAGAAACACACACAACATATGATTTATTGATCAGTTTGGTATTTGGTTTTTGACAGAAGCTTATAATATTATTTGTCGAGTTGATTTTTTTTTTTATGACGGGTTTTTTAAAAACATAAGTAGATTATTTTTCTTATCAGTGTCTAGATTTGTATAAATCTGTAAGGGTCCGTTTTATAATCATAGTTTAAACCTCGGTTATGCTTAACCCACTGATTTTACCGACTGAATTCCGTAGTTTAACTGTTGTAAGACGGGCTCTAATTATTACCATCTAGGTATCATTTATAGCCACACAATCTACATGAATGTAATAATAATAATATTCATCTGGTATTAATCATATCGAAAATCACAATAAATAAATACTATAATTATCCTTTGTTAGAATATAACGATATTATTAAATCTTATAACTATAATTCCAATGATTAAAAAAATAATTATTATAATATCGCATMAATTTAGTATAATAAAATATTATTATACGCGTAATTAATATTGGTTAAAATTAATTGGTTAATTAATTATAATATTATAAGTATTTCGTATGAACACAAATTCTGAGCAAATAAATCACTGTAGTTACACCGATCAGCTGCTTGACGTGTAATCGGTCAAACAAACAAGAACGATTATAACGGTACATAAATATTTTATCTGCATGACCAATATCATTATTATAATTATAATGTTATAGGTGTAAATCGTAAAACCTATAATTCAATGCGCTAAATCCTTTGATTTTGTAATACTTTCTGTGTAATAAATTCACTTAAAGTAAAATGTATAGTTGTAATGTGATGTCATTTTTAATAAATTAACGACCAATAAAGTATACCTATTTTTTTTAATTGTTGTTATTACAAAGTTATTAGATTTTTTTACGAAAGATTTTAACTACGGACCACTTGTTAGGAAACCATCTCAATAAACCGATGAATTTTAAGTTGTTATAATAAACAATTTTTAGATCGTGCACAATGCACCATTATAGTTTTAAATTTTAAATCATTAAATCATGATAYACCTTTTCTGGCTACTCTATTTTATATCTTATATAATATTATCTTATTTTTAACCTATGGCCTACACATATTATTTGTATACTTCCATGGAGCGTATAGATATATGTAATGAAATTTCTGCTGTATGCCTGTATACCAACTTTTCTACTAATTTTCACGCACTTTTYTTTTATTCGCAGCCGATATATTATTAAAAATCGTTTCATTTTTATATTTTATTATATAGGTACTAAAACTTAATCCTAATCCTGRAGATTTTGGATGTTTAATTAAATAAAGCAAAGTCGTTTAATATTATAATATTGTTTTTTTTTTTAAACTTTTATTACTGTTTAAATTTAAAACCAATAYTTATAGGTTTTATTTAGTTTAATGTAATTATCAAACAATTCAACTATGATATTTTTAAGTATTCGTAATTAATTTGCATAATATTATAATGCGAGCAATCTACGTTATTAGTTATTAATTTGTTAACCAATGAAATCATTGCAATATATCTTATATTATTTTATTTCGACCACKGACATTAATCTATCATATTATATTCAAAAGGCTGTTAGTTTTCAGTCTGACACATATGGTGAATACTGTGCAGTGTTAATAATACCTAATATTTTCAACAAAATAAATAGCACGTTCGAGTTATGTCTGATATTGTATTCGGGATAGATAACTGTTTCAGCTGTGACAATACCGATGATAGGTGCGATCGATATTCCATGTTAATACAGTGAAGCTTCCATATTACGATGTCTCGTGGGCAACGAAAAAAAATCTTAAAGTGGAAATATTCGTTGAATATATTTAAATTGTTCTGGTTTTCAAAAATATTCCGTTGAACAGAAAAATGTTGACTATGAAAGTTTCACTGTATTATATATGCACATTGATATTGAACTTATACGAATGCGGCCTCCCATAAAAATCGGTAAACCAACACAACCGTCAACCACCGATACCAACTGTTGACCGCAAAACCATCGCATCTTCTTTCACTCGACTTTTTTTTAATGTCAGTTTCTTTATCGCTCTCGTATCAGAAGATTTTGTGTGGTTGAAAGCCATATCATCGTTTCTCTTTCCATTTTATATTTTGGCCTAAAAGCGTACTTACGTTTAATCAAAATAGGAATRCYGTAATTATATGGAGTTCAATTTCAATGATGCGATTATGTTATAATCCTGATGACATTGTTTGCTTGCCGGGTGCAAAATTGTCACCATTATTATTTYATAATCGTCTGAAATCCCAAAATTGTTTCAGCACGAGAAAGTCGCATCTGTCGTCGCCGTCGGTGTATCGGAAGGCCAAACGGAGAGCTCTGTACAAGAATGGCGAGTGCAACATCGTCCTGGCAAACGTGTCGAAACTTCGACGGCGGTACATGCAGGACCTGTTTACCACGCTGGTGGACGCACGATGGCGATGGACCCTGTGCGTGTTCATCATGAGTTTCCTGCTCAGTTGGCTCGCTTTCGGCATCATCTGGTACCTGATCGCCTTCACTCACGGTGACTTGACGCCCGAGAACATCGACAACCCGGCGTGGTCGCCTTGCGTGATCAACATGAAAACGTTCATGGCCAGCTTCCTGTTCAGCGTGGAGACGCAGCATACCACGGGCTTTGGTTACCGGATGGTCACAGAAGAATGTCACGAGGCCATAGTGTTYTTCTGCTTCCAGAGCATCGCCGGTTTGATGATCCAAGTACGTTCGTTTGTAAACGCGACCAAACGATTCGTTCAGCGTATCAATAACCGTTACGGTTTTGATTTATGATTTTGTATTATACGACACCTATACTTCATGACTAGTACCTAATTAATAAGTTAAAAAGAAATTWACAAATTAAAAATTTGTCTATATTAACTAAAAAAATTATCTAATAATTCAAAAATGTCAGAAGTAAAATAMAAAATTCAAMATTTATTTCGTTAGATAATRCTTAATTTAAACTTAGTGTTAAGAARCCTATGTTAAAAGTAATGCATTTTTTTATAAATGCACAGCTCTAGCCATAAAGTTTAGACGAAATTAACTTTTTAATATCAATTAATGCCTTTCTATGGTTGTACTATGATACAAAAATATTCACACATTATAAAATTGATACGTGCTATTAATTAACTTATAAGATAGGCTATAGCTTATATAATAATACTAACATAATAATCATTGGTTTTATTTCATTTATAAGTGAGTTTGAGARGGGAAAGGGTTATCATAACTCATAAGTCTTTAAACGTACCCGCCCATAAATTATTATACGTTCCCATCTCTGGTTATATGATATTACACGCTGTTCCGCTGACGAAAAATCCAATTGACATTTCAATGAATTTTATTCGTAGGCGTTCATGGTGGGCATCGTGTTCACGAAGATGGCACGCCCGAAACAACGCAGCCAAACGATCATGTTCAGCAAGAACGCGGTTATATGCCGAAGGGACGGGCAGCTGTGTTTTATGTTTCGCGTTGGTGACATGAGGGAAAAATCGCATCTGATCGGCACCACGATCCAAACCAGACTCATACGATCCCGAGTCACACCGGAAGGAGAAACGTTATCGCCTCATGTTACGTATTTGAAAGTGAGAAAATATAAAATATACCATTTACGAATAAATATTTTTACTAAAAATAAATCAGATATTGAGCTTTTTTGTTTTGGACACGAATATTTGAGCTGAATACAGCTAAACAACACTATTTAGTTAATAACATATCAGTGAAAAAACTCGTAAAATATTTCTAAGAAATGTATAACCTGCTCTGCATCTTGAAGAATTCACGTTGCTTAGTACCTAATACCTATTAATTGTAACCTAGGCAGTTAATGTACGTTACCTTTTTAAATAGTCTTTACTCTATCTCACATTCACAATATGTCAATATGTAAACTATACAGACGCGTAATTCCAGTTTTTCGATTTTTGCTGTCAAAATGTTCACAAACCGTTTCTCAATAACTGTCACACCAAAGGATATAGGTTACAGCAGTAGATTACATAAGTACAATACATTTAGTAGGCAGGCAATAAAATACTAGGAATGCTGTAATAATATACCTATGTAGATTGTAGATTTTTTTTTCTTTTTGATATTTTGATGGAAATTATCAACTAGAAAACGCAACTTCTATGACATTTTTGAAACAATCAACATTTTTTGATACGCCTTATGATTAAAAAATAAATGTTTAAAATAGTACACATTAAAATTAAAATTTACAAAATGCAAGTYATACTGCTGATATTGGATGTTTTGATCCACTTGCAATATCAACTATATAAAAAATATTAGATTTGTCAGCAGGAACAGCAGATATTTAGTATTTGCAATGTCTCTGAAGTTTTTGAAATAAAAATAGACAGTAAATGGTATTTATCATGTAAATTAATAATTAAAATTACATTGATACAACTACATTGATGTATTCTTTATGTCTTTGCAGTCACGAATAACTGCAGACGACTGAATGTGATGCAGGCAGCGTAAACAATACAGACGTTACTATTTCAATATTGTTAAAACTTAACACATTCATAACAATTGATTTATAAAAATATTACAAAAAAACTGAGAGGTTTATTAGCTCTTCTCGCCAATGGTGTGGCCATTGATGGACAGTTTTTGTCAAGTGTTTTTTTTTTCTAACAAAAACRTTTCGATTTCAGATAAACATAGACGACCACGACGAACGCGTATTCTTAATGTGGCCGACCGTAGCCGTTCATATAATCGACAAGGACAGTCCACTGTACGGGCTAAGCGCAGCCGACCTGTTGAACGAGAGATTTGAAATAATCGTGATCCTGGAGGGCACCACYGAGTCTACAGGGCAGACTACGCAGGCGCGTACATCTTACACGGCGTCCGAAGTCCTATGGGGCCACAGGTTTCGGCCTTTGGTCAAATATTGCAAGAATAAAATGATGTACGAAGTCGACTACTCGCAGTTCAACGAAGTGTTCAATGTCGACACTCCACTGTGCAGTGCTAAAGATCTAGAAACGTACTTGATAGTCAATGAGCCGAAAGTCGTGATATGATTCACTAATCATTATATTACCTATATATTAAGATAATGCAAACATATACATATTCGCTCGACTTTTATTTTTCTATGACTGCGAAAGCGATGAATCTTTACTTGATTAGTAAAATTTAAACACCATTGTTGACTTGATTTTTTTTAACATAAAAATTGMTGTAAATTTAATTTTTCTAATTTATAAATCATGACTTTTTATGTAATTATATTTCTATATAGCGAAAATTATTTTTTGAATTATTTAGACAGTCAAAGGTAACATTTTAGATCTTAAAAATGATTATTTTTGTGCACATTAATAAGTCTATTCAAAATACTATATTATTTTACGAATGAAAATATTAAATTTAAGACCATTGAAAACATGATAGCAATATAATGTATGAACACATAGTTCAAAACAGCAAACGATAATATGATCTCTAAATATTAGTATAGGATAAATAATAAATAATCTCTACAAATGCTATTTTGAATATTCCATCTAAACTTAAATAATGCATAGGTATTACTCAAATGTATTTGAACTATAAATATATGTCGTGCCGTTGTCCCAGCAGATAGTGATAGATTGCCCTTGTATTCAATATATCTAATATCTAAAGTAGTAGCCAGAAGGTACCTTACCCCACATTATTAGTTTAATTTAAATGCAAATTTTTGATTTATGTTATCTACCAATTTTTCTAATCCAAACTCTAGAAACCACTTCTCCAAAATGTAAACTATGTAATGATTAATATTACAAAATGTTTAGTCATAATTAATTAGGTATGTTTTTAAAATAATACAATGTCAATATAATAGAACATTTATTTTATTTAAAATATATGACTCCTACACATGACATAACTAAAATATATTATACCTATTAGTTATTACTCATATATTTAATCTGATAAAAGTATATAATAAAACATAATWTGGATTAATAAGATGAGAATTATAATTACCAAAGTCATAGCGTAAGCACTATTTACTATAATAGCTACTACTATTTGRAGAAAATTTTAAAGAGTACTCTTTTTGTGAGGTTAAAAGTAGTGTCTCCTTATTCCATCCCTATTACCCCCACTTTAACCTCAGCATACATATTTTACTATATAGTCAACTGTCAAGCACCGCTTATCAATATAATATTATTATTCTATGATGACAAATATATTATAATATCTTATATTATCTATGAGAAGTAACAAAAATATGATATTGTATACCTACAAATTACTATTCAATGTTCAATTATAAAATATAATATAAAAAATTAATCACATAGAATAACAAAACAACAATTACAATACCGTGGGAATGATATAGAATAAATTACRATTCCATATATCAAAGAGGAAAACATGCAAAATTAATTTTTGTTTACAATTTTCTACTTTAAAACACAATTATAATTCATAATATTACTATCATATTTTTTGTCTTTTTGTATAGGTACTTCCATATTATGATACGATCAAGTATCTGCATTAATCCGTTATTACTTTTATAAAAATGCATGAAAACTAATTACCATTAAAAGTTTACCCAATATATTACCTATATATTCATTCAATTTATGATATTTATTAAATCACAACCAATCATTTTTTTTTACTTAGCGTTTTTTACACGGAGTTGACGGAGTGTTTTTGTTGGGATATCATTAGTTTTTATTAGGGTCAATATRTTTTTTATTTTTTTTCCATTATTATGATGTAAACATCTTTTGCACCACGAGGCCACCGTTCAAACTGTACAGATGTATCGTTACATCTTACCCATTTATTCTGATGTTTTATTATTGCTGTATAATGGGCTTCAGTCATAGATTGTCAAACAATAACGCAGACAACAAGCTCGTACACAGGACGCGAGACGAAAGAACGAAATTTCAAATTACGAAAACAGAATGCACCGATACCGATAAGCGATAGTGAACTATGTCCGTGTGTTGTATGTGTCTAGTGGTGGTGGGAAGCAATAGTAGTGGGAGACACACGCCGCCGTCGCAAGAATCCCCTCACCCGTCTCCGTCCACATGACGCGTTTAATACGGCAGCCGGCGGCGAAAGTAATATAAAATGATCACTTAAATATCCACAGTTTTTTGATCATAACTAAAATACTATTCAACCGATTCTATTTAAAATTATAAAAGCACGTAGCCTATGATTTTCTCGATCGATTGATACCTCATTCTAACTATTTGGTCCATTTATTAATAAATGATTAAATAATAAAGAACACCAAAATATTAACACGTATTAAATGGGAATGTTTAGGTTTCTGTATATACTACACGGTCGAGTGCTTCGCCTTCCTTTTTTTTTACTTAGCTCGCGACACTACCGTGTCGCTGGATTTAAAATAAACAAAAATGTACATCTCACCAATATTTCTTAAAATATTAGAATAAATATCAAATTATAATACTCATGACATGGAAAAAAAATTATATRATATTACAATGATTGAAAAATACTATTAATTACATATAACCTATTCTGAATCAATTGCCGGATTCCGACTTGTTTAATGTAGTATCTGTGTATGGCAAACTCAAAATGTTTAATAACACAAATAAACAATTTWAAAAAACAATATTAATAAAAATATGGGAGATCCTTAAAATTGTTCTAATTCGGACGAATCAACTCGTTTATGTTCATGTCAATTTTCTAAAATTAGCTTAAAAATTGTATTTTAATGTTCAGRTTATTATAGTACTAATTACAAACTAAACATTCAAAATGATTTTATTAGACCTAAAAATGCGTAGGTACATGGACTTCAATAAATATACAACGATGATGCATAAATAAAAATTATACAAAATAAAGTAATAATTGTAAAATAAAAAAAATAAAATCCTTAGTACTAATTCAAACAGATATAATATAATATTAGTCAAAAATATATGTATTATTATTTTTTTTTTTTTTGAGCAACATAGGTGGAATATTCTGTCAAGTATAATAATATATGAGCTTATAAAAACGTATTTATAARTTAGTTACGAATTATTGTTTTAAAATCACACAAATTTTGAGTATTCATAGGAAATCTCATTGAAATGTGCGGTCGTAAAACAATAGTATTTATAATGTCCAGCCAATTTTACAAAGAAAACGTATATATAACCATACATTTACGGTTTTCATCGAAAATATATAATATATTAGCTGGACAAAAAAATGTATAATTTAAACTGACTGGTCCAGCTTATACAACGCTTTGCCTAGTAATTGTAGTGGCCGGCGTATTGTGGTTGTTGTTGTTGTCCATGGTAGTAGGGTCCCGATGGATATGAATTTGGTGCTGGGTATCCAGCATAAGCATATTGTTGTTTTTGTGGATATACTGTAAAATAATGAAAAATAATTATCATCCGTTGAAATTTATAGTTCGTATACAGTGATAGTACCATATGGTTTTTTAATAGGCGAACCACAAAATTAATTAATTAATGATTTAATGTTCACGAGTGCTATATAAATTTAAAATATACTATAGAGGTCGGTCAAGTTTCGTGACGCAACGTGTTTAAAAAGTTAGGGTTAATTTTYGGCCCAAGGTTAATGTGCACACGATCCACCTAATTTTATAATTATTTTCTCACTATACTATTTTCCYATAACTAAATAAACTCATTTTAAATAATTGTGAACTAAGTCCTATTAGTTCTCTATTAACTTACATAGTGCCCTCGATATTTATAAAGTAAGTTTGTATAACACTATAAAATATTTATTCGTTCATCAAACATCTTATATTGTGTAACTGCGCATTTATTCTCTAGTACAATATATGAAAAACCAACACCAAATTAAGCGCTGGTCACTTGATTTAATATAATATTTAAAAATAATATATATTTTATATTTATGATCAAGATATTTTGCACCCATAATTTTAGTAGTCAGATTTTTAATTGAATGCAATATCAATGGTCATAATGTGAAAATATATGTGCAGCAATAGTATACAAAAAATCATACTGTCATATCAAATTATAAAATGTTAAATGGGATAGTTAAATGTGATTTTCCCTTGGTATAAAACATAAAATAGTACACTTATATTAATATTAACTGTTCTTGGCCACGTTTACAAAAAGCATTCGACGATTTAATGTCCTTCGGAGAATAAATGCTCAACAGCAATAAATTAACTCCGTCATTGGCACTTGTTAAACCACACATTCTATTATACTGACCAGGCATTAAGTATTGCATGTTGAGAGCCTCTTCTCTTTCGCGTTCGCCACGTAGACAGATTGCAGCGCCGGAAAACAGTATAGCAGACACCAAAGAAAATGCAACGCCAGTCCACGCCATGAAGAACGACCAATCATAAGATATACGAGTGTTGTCCTTAAGAATCTGTACAAACATGATAACAACAATCAATTGAATATAAGAGTGATCAAAAATAATAAAATGGAAATGGAAAAATTAAATTTTAAATTAAAATAGTATGTAGTTGAAATACCTGTCCATAATTATAATAATATATCTACAATAAATTCGGTAACGTAAATAATTATTGCAKAAATGCATCATTACAATAAATAGGATAAATTACATGCTTGTYCTAATTTTTTCTTTAATACTGAATTTATTCAAATTCTGATTAAGCCTTAAGGACTATATTTTCAATTATATATATTTCTTATACCATTTAAGGAGTGTCCTKTGGCAATGCAATATTCTTTTTGTCAAATAACAATCAATCTTATTTTACTGTATACTACTAAGCAAACGACTTTTCTGAAAATTTTGGCGTTTTTTAATCGAAATTAGAACGAGTAATATCTGAGTTATTAACATATAATATATATATACGTACCTACTATGGCTAATAATCCTTAAAAATGGTTTTACAGAAATATAAGATACATGACGTCATATTGGATCTATTAATTATTGTACTGGAGCCATTTTCATAAATTACTAATGTTACTTGTTACTGAATTAATATGAATTGCTGAAATTTTAAATCACAATAACCTCTAATATTATCTTTCAAATGCGTAACCATYATCCGTAAAAAACTACTAAGTTAAATAATCCATATTATAAAACCCGTTCAAATTTCTATAAGCATATAATAAAAATGTCAACATTTGAAAAACACCATATGATTAAAAATTTACAAGATAAATGAATATTCTCAATTGTAAAATAGGAATTTTGRTATCACCACGATACCACAGGCATACTCCTTAAATAGTATAAAAAAATTAATACATTTTTATAAATACAGATCTTAAGTACGTTTGAAAATTACAACAATTATAATTTGAATAAATTTATATTTTAAAGAATAAAAAATGCTTGATGAATCACTCTGCATAATATATTTATATGATTTATTTACGTTATTCCACTGCTGGTAAAACTCTTCTCCTACTACACGTTCTTTTTCGTAGTATTCCACACCGTGCCAGAATCCCATAGCGCCAGCGCTAAGTAGGCCTGAAAATGAAAACAAATGAGTYATTTTCTCAACATTTTTGATAATTTTAAACAACATCTGATCGTCAATATTACTCACATGCCAATAGCACTAAAATTGCAGTGGCCGTGATATTTCCGGGCGATCTTCTCCAGCAACCCGCGACTCCGGTCCAAAAAGCGATGAACATTACGAAAAAGCTGACAATGAATAAGGCGATAGTTGATCTTCCCATGTCTAAACAAGAATAGGTGGATTAATTTTTAAACTGTAAACAATTGCCAATTACTTTTATTTGTTCAGACATACGTAATCTGGTCATGGCGTCTTCAGAGAACTCATGTGTCTGATTTTCCGGGTCCAAAAAGAAATAGTCGACATTCATACAATGTGTTTCGACGGGACTCAAATAGGTTTCAACTGAAAACAAATAAATATTACTGTAATTGATATAGTAAATTAATAACTATAGATATTATTATTGTGAATAGATCGTTATTTTATCCAAAAGTTAATGATAACGATTCCGTTTTCATTTTAAAACACAATATTCATCTTCTACTATTTGTTTATTTAACAATAAATAAATAAATTAGTTTTTTATTCCAATAATTATGTATAAAAAATGTATACATTGAGTAACATAATTGTTCTTTCTTTAGTTTTTAATGTGATATTTATGTTTAGAATCTAACCTTCCTTTTCAATATGGGTTAAAGTCGAAAGTAATTTAATTACAATTCAACAATATTCATTAAATAAGTACGGGTTTTTCATTGTTCTCGATAGGTATTGAAATAACTTAATAACTATATATGCTCTTATAATAATATAATACATAAATTATAGTATCTATATTATAAATGTAGAAACTAATTGTTATATTTGTATACTTMACCCTATCTAGAATTCAATGTTTTCTTATTTTAATACCTATACAATAATATTATTAATTCGTATTCATATAATGTCCTATCCTGATATCCTACAATATTTAAGTATAAATTGTTTTATGAATAGAAAAAAAGGAAAAGGTTTTTTATTCACTTATCGGAAAACAAAGTGGTTACCACAAACCAGCACACACAGAATTATTAATTAAAATATCCACATAGTTGCGACTAGAAAATTAAATTTAAAAAAAAAAAAAATCGTGAGTGGAACAAGAAAAATGATAATTAAATGGTAGGGATTAAACGATAGTACATTTTTATCTATACTTATATTATAATATTACATAATAAGATTTTAAAAACAAAATTATAAAAATCATCAATATTTGGCAATCTACCACTTAAAATTATACGGATTGAAAAAATGAAATATTGAAAAAAAATAATGATAGTATTTACCATAATATTATTAGTTTCCTTGTCGTAGATGTACGACATTGAAAAATGTAATTATTGCAGGAAAGTAGACTTTTTTCTGTAATATGGAAATATTGCCAAATATACTTAGGATTATTCTCAACTTAACGTTGAACATTAAAACAGTATATAAATAACGAAATATATCGGATTGAATATTTAAATACTGAGCAAGGTCACTAGCACAATGTAATAATTTAAAATATATGTAAAATCATTAAAGTATATTTATTTATAATAAATGTATATGCATTAGTAAATGTTTGTCTTATTTCATATTACTATCTCAATATTGTTATAGGTAAATCAAAATAAGAATTTAGTATATACGTACTCAAACGTACTTATAAATAATTATATAATATATTTTACAGTATTAATATTTGAGTAACCAACAAGAAAAATGTAAAGCAGAAATTAATACCAATTATAACCTTTATGAAGATGATTTGGCAAGTAAAAATATTGAAATATGTTTAGTAAATTCAATAATAGATTCATCAGTACGTTTTAATAGATATATTACGATACCAGGCATCCTAACAATTGAAAACAATATAGTACCTATTCAACGATACGTTTTCATTACTTAAATGCGTAAGAACGACACGCGACGTTAAAAAGTCAACGAAACGATTTTAATGGATAACAATAGGAATAGATATTTTTTTCCAAAAACGCTATGATAAGATGGTTAGGAATGGAGCGGAGTCAGGAACCACGTCTTTAATTTTTTTTTGCCATTAAATCGAGGAGAGAAATTCTATTTTATGAACCTACGATAATTGATTATTATTTATATAAAAAAAAATATAGCGGTGGCAACATTAGAAAACTTGGTGGACAGTAAATATCGTCATCTATCCAATTTATACCTATTGAATATTATGAACGTCACGTCAAGATAATTAGAATATGAAAACGAATTAACCACATTTGCAGCATAGTCGCATGATTTCATCAGATCTTGATTGGAAATGGGAATGTAATAGGTATAATACCGGGTTAACAGCAGCATAATATTATAATGTAACGTTTGAGCGATTCGGTTTTAATGTGAACAGGTAGAATATTGAAAAACGTAACACTATTTTTTTAGATTACCTATCATATTGGTTTGCTGCGCGAAAGAATAAAAACTGCGGATGGACATCAAAACTTGCGTGGTCACCTCCATACTGGTTTGAGAATTTATTTCCATTCCAACAATATTATAATAATWATAATAAATATGCAATCGTCCGAAAAACCAACTCTGGCGAATCAGTKGTGATTAAATAATAATGTCATAGTTAGCCAACACTGGGATGATCATCAGACACGTGTGCAAGCGTGTCACATATTAGCATATTACTATACGATCCGAAGATTTTGAACTAAAGTCAATTTTTTTTTTGCACGCTGTGAACGATATTTTTGACATACCTTTGACGGATCGCGTAAAYATCAATCACTAAACATTTAACGAATTAATAGTGAACTAAAAGTACCTTAAACATGTTTCAGTGGTCCATTCTAATAATATAATTTTCACCCTTTACTATAGTGGTCAGTGTCTATTTAACATTATATAATACCATACGAGTTGGATACCAATAAATTGTTAGTGCTTTTCTCTCTCGGAGAAGAAGGACTTACTACTATGCCGAGTTTTCATTTGACATACTTGTTAATTACAATGTATTATTCTCGCCACCAACTCTGTGGCATTGTATATTTTAGTCCGTTTCGCAAATATGCCGTGTGTTCACGCTGTTTTATTGTGCGGTTCGAAGCGCATCAAATGTCGGACCAGTTACCGACGTCGGCATTAGTTATAGATATCTAGGTATATTATTACATTATTAGATGTCTACTTTTAGTTGAGTTTTAATTCATTAAATACTATATGATAAGTGATAACACTTCTATAGAGGCTGGAATGGTTCGATAAATCTATCATGCGGCTCTGTATAGTATAATCGTGTCTATATTCATTATTCGAYCGACCATTCGTAAATGCGATAATTTAATAAATAATATATTATATGTATATTATCGATGGATAATTTGGAATACCACAACTTGCACAGTTTGTATCGTTATTATTACTTATAAAGTTATAACATTAATAATATCAACTATTATCTAGATTTTGGATAACATATTATTATGATGAATACAATTAGTTTTTTTTTTGTATTTCTCGGTACGCAAAAAAAAACTATTTTATTATTTGGACAGGTTTTTCAATAAATTAATTCATGTGTGTAAACAAAAATCTTGTTTTGGCTAAGTCGAATTAAATTCGTTAAAAAAATTTAGTTTTGCCAATAAAAATCTTGACCTAGGTACCGTTGTTGAACATTATTTTGAAAAATGTATACTTTTAAATTATCATAATTATACTCTTATACCCAAGTGGCTAAGTGATAATATAATGCGTTAACATATTACATAGTAGGTATATACACAACAATATGTATATATGTATGTAAAATAAATGATAATATTTTATTATAAGCTGAACGTGTTTATTATAATATTATTTGAATAATAAATTATTCATTGTTAATTTTTTACTAAATACGTTGGTCACTTGTTTTAAAATGTGAAAAGTCTAGGTAGTAAAATTTTATTGCTAACATAGTTAGTTGGTTTTTGAATTTTTTGGACAATCTGAGCTACAATAAATACAATGTTTATGGAAAACACTTTCGTTGGGTTAATTTTTTGTTTCAAACACAAAGTAAAATTTATATTGTTATTTGTTTTATTATTATGTAATTATATTATCATCATTATTGTTTTCCCAGACACTTTGAGAAAAAACAAAACCGTTATTAGTACATATTTAAACAGACAAATAGTGTGAAATCACCAATCTCACACTGGAGCAGGCGCTGTGCACAACCACTTTCTATCAGCCACTAAAACAAAAAGAGAAATATTGCATTCTTAGACGGCTATCGGAGGGAAATGAAAAAAATAAATACCTCCAGAGTAATAATAATAATAATAATATTCCCTTGTGGCTTTTTCTTTCGTCCTTTTCTCTGGAGTATATGTATACTTTTTTATAAACGCGCACACATGATGTGCTACTAAACGTGACCTTGGTTGACGTCCTACAGAAGCAATTATGGGGCACAGATGGAACCGGTTGTCGGTGAGTCCCTCACGCACGCGCATGGAATGTGGGCAAGTCTATGCTGAGAACCGGTACAGGCAGCTGATGCTGAATGCGGACACTCCTAAGAATATATTTTATACATAGATATATGTATACACACACCATGATATTATGCGAGCCCCGGGATGTCAGCAGGCTTCGTGCTAAAATGATCGTGATGGCTATTAGGTGTTCACGTCAATATCATCATCATGTGTAATGACTCCAACTAGGTATCCTTTTCTCGGAATTCCATCCAGAAATTCTACCCTCTGCTACAGCAGGATGCCAACATCGAAATGTTTTATTTTTCTACTGATGTATCGTTGTTGTTGTTGTTATTTTTATTGTTGTTAAACATTAAACAAACTGTAGTATAATAATAACATGTATAGACAAAAACAAAAATATCACTTTTTTCCGAAATGTAATTGATAGGTATAATGTATAATATATGAATAAATAATCAAAAAAAATCGCGTAAAACGTAAATTTCAAAATACTTTATAATATAGAACACACTGTGTATTACGAGTGGATGTAACCTAGTATAAAAATATAAAATATGTTATTATTATTATTATTACCTACTTTTGTGGTATAAAATAAATATCTACAGACATTAAGATAACTATAATTCTATATTAGAAAATATTATGCAACAAGATTATTATTTTATTAATACATAATATGTATATTATGATAGTATTTGAATGGGAATAATACAAAAAGTTACGATGGAAAATATTATAACATGATAGGTACACAGATATTAACTTTGAGACTTATTATCACACTTCCGTTTGATAAAATAACATGGTGATTAATTTTAAAGCACAGAATACGTTATTGGAAAAAAAAAATAATACTTTTGTAGAACGTAGAACGTACCTATATTA